GTCACTGTTGTGTTGGTGATGGTGTCACTGTTGTGTTGGTGATGTTGTGTGATGGTGTCACTGTTGTGTTGGTGATGGTGTCACTGTTGTGTTGGTGATGGTGTCACTGTTGTGTTGGTGATGGTGTCACTGTTGTGTTGGTGATGGTGTCACTGTTGTGTTGGTGATGGTGTCACTGTTGTGTTGGTGATGGTGTCACTGTTGTGTTGGTGATGGTGTCACTGTTGTTGGTGATGGTGTCACTGTTGTGTTGGTGATGGTGTCACTGTTGTGTTGGTGATGGTGTCACTGTTGTGTTGGTGATGGTGTCACTGTTGTGTTGGTGATGGTGTCACTGTTGTGTGATGGTGGTGTTGGTGTCACTGTTGTGTTGGTGATGGTGTCACTGTTGTTGTGATGGTGGTGTGTTGGTGATGGTGTCACTGTTGTTGTTGTTGTGGTTACTGTCACTGTTGTGTTGGTGATGGTGTCACTGTTGTGTTGGTGATGGTGTCACTGTTGTGTTGGTGATGGTGTCACTGTTGTGTTGGTGATGGTGTCACTGTTGTGTTGGTGATGGTGTCACTGTTGTGTTGGTGATGGTGTCACTGTTGTGTTGGTGATGGTGTCACTGTTGTGTTGGTGATGGTGTCACTGTTGTGTTGGTGATGGTGTCACTGTTGTGTTGGTGATGGTGTCACTGTTGTGTTGGTGATGGTGTCACTGTTGTGTTGGTGTGGTGTCACTGTTGTGTTGGTGATGGTGTCACTGTTGTGTTGGTGTCACTGTTGTGTTGGTGATGGTGTCACTGTTGTGTTGGTGATGGTGTCACTGTTGTGTTGGTGTTACTGTTGTGTTGGTGATGGTGTCACTGTTGTGTTGGTGATGGTGTCACTGTTGTGTTGGTGATGGTGTCACTGTTGTGTTGGTGTTGGTGTCACTGTGTTGGTGTTGGTGTCACTGTTGTGTTGGTGATGGTGTCACTGGTGATGGTGTCACTGTTGTGTGATGGTGATGGTGTCACTGTTGTGTTGGTGATGGTGTCACTGTTGTGTTGGTGATGGTGGTGTTTGTTTGGTGATGGTGTCACTGTGTGGTGTGTCACTGTTGTGTGTGTGTTGTGTTGGTGATGGTGTCACTGTTGTGTTGGTGATGGTGTCACTGTTGTGTGTTGGTGATGTTGTGTCACTGTTGTGTTGGTGATGGTGTCACTGTTGTGTTGGTGTCACTGTTGTGTTGGTGATGGTGTCACTGTTGTGTTGGTGATGGTGTCACTGTTGTGTGGTGATGGTGTCACTGTTGTGTTGGTGATGGTGTCACTGTTGTGTTGGTGATGGTGTCACTGTTGTGTTGTGATGGTGTCACTGTTGTGTTGGTGTCACTGTTGTGTTGGTGATGGTGTCACTGTTGTGTTGGTGATGGTGTCACTGTTGTGTGGTGGTGTTGGTGATGGTGTCACTGTTGTGTTGGTGATGGTGTCACTGTTGTGTTGGTGATGGTGTCACTGATGTGTTGGTGTTACTGTTGTGTTGGTGATGGTGTCACTGTTGTGTGTTGGTGTCACTGTTGTGTTGGTGATGGTGTCACTGTTGTGTTGGTGATGGTGTCACTGTTGTGTTTGTGATGGTGTCACTGTTGTGTTGGTGATGGTGTCACTGTTGTGTTGGTGATGGTGTCACTGTTGTGTTGGTGATGGTGTCACTGTTGTGTTGGTGATGGTGTCACTGTTGTGTTGGTGATGGTGTCACTGTTGTGTTGGTGATGGTGTCACTGTTGTGTTGGTGATGGTGTCACTGTTGTGTTGGTGATGGTGTCACTGTTGTGTTGGTGTGATGTCACTGTTGTGTTGGTGATGGTGTCACTGATGTGTTGGTGTTACTGTTGTGTTGGTGATGGTGTCACTGTTGTGTTGGTGATGGTGTCACTGTTGTGTTGGTGATGGTGTCACTGTTGTGTTGGTGATGGTGTCACTGTTGTGTTGGTGATGAACGTCTGGTGTTCGAAGTGTTCTCCAGCCCCTGGTGTTCAGTGTTCACCAGGGTGTGTTCAGCAGGGTGTGGTGTAGACACTACCACACATCAATAAGACATTATCTGAGTGTAAGATTAAGAAGATAAGTTTAGAGTGTGACGTGTGTAGAGATCATCTCTCCCTCAGACCCCAGCATCTTCCTCCTCTCAGCTGGTGAGTTTACACTCTCCTTCCTGCTGCTATAGTCTACAAGTTTACACTGTCCCTCCTGCTGCTATACTCTACAAGTTTACACTCTCCCTCCTGCTGCTATACTCTACAAGTTTACACTGTCCCTCCTGCTGCTATAGTCTACAAGTTTACACTGTCCCTCCTGCTGCTATAGTCTACAAGTTTACACTGTCCCTCCTGCTGCTATACTCTACAAGTTTACACTCTCCTTCCTGCTGCAATACTCTACAAGTTTACACTCACCCTCCTGCTGCTATACTCTACAAGTTTACACTCTCCCTCCTGCTGCTATACTCTACAAGTTTACACTCACCCTCCTGCTGCTATACTCTACAAGTTTACACTCACCCTCCTGCTGCTATACTCTACAAGTTTACACTCTCCTTCCTGCTGCTATACTCTACAAGTTTACACTCACCCTCCTGCTGCTATACTCTACAAGTTTACACTCACCCTCCTGCTGCTATACTCTACAAGTTTACACTCTCCTTCCTGCTGCAATACTCTACAAGTTTACACTGTCCCTCCTGCTGCTATACTCTACAAGTTTACACTCTCCCTCATGCTGCTATACTCTACAAGTTTACACTCACCCTCCTGCTGCTATACTCTACAAGTTTACACTCACCCTCCTGCTGCAATACTCTACAAGTTTACACTCTCCCTCCTGCTGCTATACTCTACAAGTTTACACTCACCCTCCTGCTGCTATACTCTACAAGTTTACACCTGTGTCCCCTTGTTCATGTACCACCCGTGTTAAATAAACTCTATCAATTCTGAGGATCTTGTATGTGGTGATCATGTCTCCCCTTTCTCGTCTGTCTTCCAGAGACGTGTGGTTTAGTTCCAGTTGTCTGTCCTGGTAGCTCATACCCCTCAGCTCGGGCACTAGTCTGGTGGCATACCTTTGAACCTTCCCCCCCCCCCCCCACACACACATATACATACACACACTACCTGTCACAGTTGCCATGGCAACACACTATACAATAGATCAATAGTAGTGCACAATTGCATTATTCGGTCGCATCCTTACATTAGCGGGCTATATTATCTAGGGCAGGGTTCGTATCCTTTATAATTCCTCCCGGGAGCCGGTCGGCCGAGCGGACAGCACGCGGGACTTGTGATCCTGTGGTTCTGGGTTCGATCCCAGGCGCCGGCGAGAAACAATGGGTAGAGTTTCTTTCACCCTATGGCCCCTGTTACCTAGCAGTAAAATATGTACCTGAGTGTTAGTCAGCTGTCACGATCTGCTTCTTGGGGGTGGAGGCCTGGTCGAAGACCGGGCCGCGGGGACACTAAAGCCCCGAAATGTTATCAAGATAACCTCAAGATAACCCCCTTGGGGATGTTTTGGGGGGATTGGGGAATTCACGACCCCTCCACGCAGGTATGTATTGACATGTGTGGAGCGGTCCACATCTGCTTCTTTTCCATACAAATGTTCGCTGACTTTCAAGAGTAAATGTGACTAACTGACCGAGTATGTGAGCTTACAGATGAGTTATTATTACAGATATTATTTGTTAAAGTTTAGGGGGCAGATTCACGAAGCAGTTACGCAAGCACTTACGAACGTGTACATCTTTCCTCAATCTTTGACGGCTTTGGTTACATTTATTAAACAGTTTACAAGCATGAAACTTGCCAATCAACTGTTGTTATTGTAATAAACAGCCTCCTGGTGCTTCGGAGCTCATTAACTGTTTAATAACTGTAAACAAAGCCCCCAAAGAGTGAAAAAAGATGGACAGGTTCGTAAGTGCTTGCGTAACTGCTTCGTGAATCTGGCCCCAGGGTAAGATGGATTTTTTTTAGCCTGGCTGGATAATGAGTAATGCGCCTTGCCTCTTTAGTTGACATTTTGAAGCAGCTGAAAAACTCTTCAGAGGCAAGGAAGGAATACAAATATGACATTCACTGTGTCTTGAAACCTTTCATGAGCAAACTCATATATTGCAAGAGAAAGGTAAGGTTACAAAATGTTGCAATGTTTGAGAAACTCTCGTCAATTGTTCTTGATGATGGTGAAGAATAAGTTCTCCCAGAATTTGCAAGAAATGAAATTGTGTTCCAATGGAACATAAGTTCAGCCACTATTTCCCTGAACTCAGTGATGAAGAGTTCGATTTAGTTCGTAATCCATTGAAATTATCACATGAAAAAGTTCCGGATGATTGTCAAGACAAATTTCTGCAGCTGAAACCTGGGCCAGATTCACGAAAGCACTTACGAACCTGCACATCTTTTTTCAATCTAAGGCGGGTTTGTTTCCAATTATTAAACAGTTAATGAGCTCTGAAGCACCAGGAGGCTGTTTATAACAATAACAACAGTTGATTAGCAAGTTTTTATGCTTGTAAACTGTTTAATAAATGTAACCAAAGCCGTCAAAGATTGAGGAAAGATGTACACGTTCGTAAGTGCTTCTGTAAGTGCTTTCGTGAATCTGGCCCCTGGGCTCCTTGCAACCTTATAATATAACAAAAACAAGATTTTCAATATGATATATATGTATAATATTTGGAATATACGTATTGAGTTAGGCTATCTTGGGAAGGGGGAATTATATTCTGAACAACGGTGAAAGGCAGAATGGAACAAAAAAGGTTCATTGCTGTTTTAGATTCAGCTTCCTGCATCAACATGTCAATGTTGGCCGGCCGTCATGGACATGTTGTGAACCATAACTACTGGAGCAGGCCACAACTGGCGAGATTGTTGTTGTTGTTGTTGTACAATGAGAATGTGGGGGCTGAGACACAGTTCCCGGCGCCCAGAGTTAATTATAATCTAACGACACATTTTTTGCTTTACGCTTGAGAGACGGAGTTACGTATCTCCACTACCTGGCTCTTGTACCCATACGGGTATGCATACCCCAGGTTAACTTGGCTCTCGTACCCGTACGGGTATGCATACCCCAGGTTAACTTGGCTCTCGTACCCGTACGGGTATGCATACCCCAGGTTAACTTGGCTCTGGTACCCGTACGGGTACCCATACCCCAGGTTAACTTGGCTCTGGTACCCGTACGGGTACCCATACCCCAGGTTAACTTGGCTCTGGTACCCGTACGGGTACCCATACCCCAGGTTAACTTGGCTCTGGTACCCGTACGGGTACCCATACCCCAGGTTAACTTGGCTCTCGTACCCGTACGGGTACCCATACCCCAGGTTAACTTGGCTCTGGTACCCGTACGGGTACCCATACCCCAGGTTAACTTGGCTCTGGTACCCGTACGGATACCCATACCCCAGGTTAACTTGGCTCTGGTACCCGTACGGGTACCCATACCCCAGGTTAACTTGGCTCTGGTACCCGTACGGGTACCCATACCCCAGGTTAACTTGGCTCTGGTACCCGTACGGGTACCCATACCCCAGGTTAACTTGGCTCTGGTACCCGTACGGGTACCCATACCCCAGGTTAACTTGGCTCTCGTACCCGTACGGGTACCCATACCCCAGGTTAACTTGGCTCTGGTACCCGTACGGGTACCCATACCCCAGGTTAACTTGCAGGTCTCCGCCATATCGACGTAGCCAAGCTTCGCGCCCTAGAGGGGACACGCCAGCCTAGCCAACCAGTCTCCCAAAACTGTAAGAAGCTTCTCCTTCTCCTTCACATCTCTTCCATGCCTCCACTCCCCTGAGCGGGGGTCGACCCAAGACATCTCCGGCGTGTCGAAAGAGTGGCCGGGTCGCCCAGGGATGATGTGTGTGTGTTCTGGTGGCCTAATTGTTGGACACACCTCGCTGGGAGCATGTTTGCTGCTCTCTGACTCCACTGACCTATTTCCTGCACACACACACACCTGCCATTGTCAGCCACCAGTGTTGACAACATTGTGTACCAAACTTACATATTGACAGTCCTTCCTTCCTCACACATTCTCTTTACCCTCCCTCACTGCTCAAACACACACACACACACTCTCTCTCTCTCTCTCTCTCTCTCTCTCTCTCTCTCTCTCTCTCTCTCTCTCTCTCTCTCTCTCTCTCTCTCTCTCTCTCTCTCTCTCTCTCTCTCTCTCTCTCTCTCTCTCTCTCTCTCTCTCCCTCTCTCTCTCCCCCGAGTGTGAAGACCGAATATATGGATATAGAAGAAAAAAGAGATATGAACACTACGTACAAAATACTAACAGGCATCTACAAAATTAACCATTAAAAGTTCTGAAAACTGCAGCTTCCAGAAGAGGTCATAGAGTCAAACAAATGAAAGAAAGTTGCCGAAGAAAGATCAGAAAGTGTACACAGTGGTAGAGAGCTGGAACAAGTGAAGTGAGAAGGTGGTAGAGGTCTAAAGTTTCCCTCAAGAGTTTACGTCAAGAGTTCCCCTCAAGAGTTTCCCGTCAAGAGTTTCCGAGGTAAACACCGTTGTACTGGCAGACCTGAGCCTCGCATCCTCAGACGGATCATTGTATCACTCAGAAAAAATACTTCCTGACCTCCACCACGAGTGAGAATTATTGATTGTCTGTCTGTCTTCTATAGTGGAGATTCCCCCACCTCGTTTCCTCTACTATATTACCAACCTTTCTTGTACACAACCTTAAGTACACACACACACACACACACACACACACACACACACACACACACACACACACACACACACACACACACACACACACACACACACACACACACACACACACTCACACTTGGTGAATATTGCCGGAACAACCGTGGACATCTTCAAGAGGAAACTAGACTGTTTTCTTAAAAGACGTTCCGGACCAACCGAGCTGTGGTGGGTATGTGGGCCTGCGGGCCGCTCCAAGCAACAGCCTGGTGGACCAAACTCGCACAAGTCAAGCCTGGCCTCGGGCCGGGCTTGGGGGTGTAGAAGAACTCCCAGAACCCCATCAACCAGGTATCAACCAACCAGGTGGTCCGCGAACAAGGGGACACAGGTGGAAACTGAGTACCCACATGAGCCACAGGGACGTTAGAAAGAACTTTTTCAGTGTCAGAGTAGTTAACAGGTGGAATGCATTACGAAGTGATGTGGTGGAGGCTGACTCCATACACATCTTCAAATGTAGATATGATAGAGCCCAATAGGCTCAGGAACCTGTACACCAGTTGATTGACAGTTGAGAGGCGGGACCAAAGAGCCAGAGCTCAACCCTCGCAAGTGTCTATACTAACTAGGTTAGTATAGAGACATAGGCGCGCGAGTGGACATAACTGGAGATGTATCAGCAGAGGCAGACATCAGCAGAATAACTAGGGCAGCATATGCCACACTGCTGGGTGTGGTAGGGCATACGTGCCTCAAGGCACTTACATATAGATATAGATACAGATATAGATATAGATATATACAAGAGTTGTTACATTCATGTACAGCCACTAGTAGGCGTAGCGTTTCGGGCAGGTCCCTGGAATACGATCCCCGCCGCGAAGAATCGTTTTTTCATCCAAGTACACATTTTACTGTTGCGTTAAACAGAGGCTACAGTTAAGGAATTGCGCCCAGTAAATCCTCCCCGGCCAGGATACGAACCCATGACATAGCGCTCGCGGAACGCCAGGCGAGTGTCTTACCACTACACCACGGAGACTTGCCCAATATGATCCCTTCCGAGCGATGTAACCAACGTCTGTAAGACCCATTGTTGAGTACGCTGCCCCGGCATGGAACCCTTGTTTAAAGATCACAAAACATGATTAGAATACTGACAATCCCAATCATTGTGGACGAAGAGGAGGTGGTCGCAGGAGAGAATCAGTAAGAGCAAGAATCCGTTTTGGATACAAATATCCATGGAGATTCGGAATGGAAACAACAGCTGAGTTGCAGAGTTGCAGAATCAGTAGTGAGAGTGATGGACACCGCCTTGACCACCCTCTACGTGGTCCTGTACTCTGGACTGGACTTGTTATTCACAAACAACGATGAACTAATCAGAGACATTAATCTCAGATACTTCATACTCAGACCATAAGCTCATTGAAGTGCGAACTAGCATAAGCATAAATAACGGTAGTAGGTCTAAGAGACCCAACAAGCGAGAAGGAATATTCAATCAATTCAGTTTCAACAATAAGAGGATTGACTGGGAAAAAATAAATGTAGACCTTGCAACCATTCAATGGGAGACGGTCTTAAGCGACAAAACTCCCACACAGGGAATAGCTCAACTGACAGCTGAAGCTTACAAGGTCTGCTTGAAGCACGTATCTGTGAGGAGGGGCAGAAAGAGGACCACTCCAGATAGAGAACGCAGACGACTGTACAGGAGAAGGAAAAAAATAACGGAAATGCTTCGGCAGACACAACTATCACAAGCATGGAACACAAGCCTAGCAGGGAGATCAAAGAAATAGAACAAACGTTGAAGCGATCACATGAGTCTGAGGAAATGGAATTGGAACAGAAAGCTATACAAGAGATAAGGAAAAATCCAAAATATATTTTCAAATACGCAAAATCAAAATCCAAAACCTCGACCAGTATTGGACTGGTTAATTACAACTGAAGGTACGTACACAGAAGACAACAAAGAGATTAGTGAAATTCTAAGAGGCAAGTATGAGGCTATGTTTAGCACACCAATAAACAACATGAAAGTTGATGACCCAGACAGCTTCTTTATGAATGACATTCAAGCTGCAGATAATATAACGGATATTACCACAAACTCGGAAGACTTTGAAAGAGAAATTGACAATATGCCTATGCACTCAGCTCCTGGGCCTGACTCATGGAATTCAATATTCATAAAGAAATGTAAAGTACCAGTAGCGAGAGCACTCAGCGTAATATGGAGAAAGAGCCTGGATACAGGGGAGATACCAGCAGCACTTAAATCTGCAGATATAGCTCCTTTGCACAATGGGGGGAGTAAAGCTTTGGCAAAAAATTATAGGCCAGTTGCACTAACATCACACATAATAAAAGTTTTTGAAAGAGTGATTAGGAATCAATTTCCAAGTTTATGGAAAATAATGAATTGCACAATCCAGGTCAACATGGATTTAGAGCAGGCAGATCCTGTCTGTCACAGTTACTCAACCACTTTGACAAAATGACAGAAGCTTTAGAAGAAAAGCAAAATGCAGATGTTGTATACACAGACTTTGCAAAGGCATTCGACTAATGTGACCATGGGGTGATAGCTCACAAAATGAGGTCAATGGGTATAACTGGTACAGTAGGACGCTGGATACTCAATTTTTTTGTCGAACAGAACACAAAGAGTAACAGTCATATAAAATCGAGTCCAAGCGATGTTAAAAGCTCTGTACCTCAGGGTACAGTCCTTGCACCGCTACTGTTCCTTATTCTCATATCAGATATACACAAAAATACAAGTCACTGCTTTGTGTCATCCTTTGCAGATGACACAAAAATCAACCTGAAAATTATCTCTACTGAAGACATTGAAAAACTACAAGCAGATATCAATAAAGTTTCGACTGGGCAGCAGAAAATAACATGATGTTTAACAGTGGAAAATTCCAGGTACTCAGGTACGGCAAAAAAGAGGATCTTAAACATAATACAGGGTACAAAACACAATCGAATCTGCCCATAGTAGGAAAACAGCATGTCAAGGATTTGGGAATAATGATGTCTTACGGTCTAACGTTTAGGGAGCATAACCAAGCAAGTATTGCGTCAGCCAGAAAAATGATAGGATGGATTACGAGAACTTTCAAATCCAGGGATCCCATCACAATGGTTGTACTCTTCAAGTCACTTGTGTTGTCCCGTCTTGAGTACTGCTCAGTACTCACTTCCCCCTTCAGAGCAGGAGAGATTGCTGAAATAGAGGGAATACAGAGAACATATACGGCACGCATAGACGAGATAAAACACCTAAATTATTGGGATCGTCTCAAAGTTCTCCAAATGTACTCACTAGAAAGGAGACGAGAGAGATACAAAATAATATACACATGGAAAATACTGGAGGTTATCTTGAGGTTATCTTGAGATGATTTCGGGGCTTTCTTTCAGTGTCCCCGCGGCCCGGTCCTCGACCAGGCCTCCACCCCCAGGAAGCAGCCCGTGACAGCTGACTAACACCCAGGTACCTATTTTACTGCTAGGTAACAGGGGCATAGGGTGAAAGAAACTCTGCCCATTGTTTCTCGCCGGCGCCTGGGATCGAACCCAGGACCACAGGATCACAAGTCCCGCGTGCTGTCCGCTCGGCCGACCGGCTCCCGACAGGGACAGGTCCCTAATCTACACAGTAAAATAACAACATACTGGAGTGAACGATATGGAAGAAAATGCAGAATAGAACCAGTGAAGAGCAGAGGTGCCATAGGCACAATCAGAGAACACTGTATAAACATCAAAGGTCCACGGTTGTTCAACGTCCTCCCAGCGAGCATAAGAAATATTGCCGGAACAACCGTGTACATCTTTAAGAGAAAACTGGACTGTTTTCTAAAAGAAGTGCAATACCAACCTGGCTGTGGTGGGTATCTAGGCCTGCGGGCCGCTCCAAGCAACAGCCTGGTGGACCAAACTCTCACAAGTCAAGGCTTGGGGAGTAGAAGAACTCCCAGAACCCCATCAACCAGGTACGTGACTATGAACACCTGAGAGACATTAGAACTATGTGTAGAATAATAAACCCCACATTGTTTGAGTTAGGAAAACACTATTTGTCAAATATTGATACTGTTCTTAAAAGATTCCCCCATTTTGCACCCGCAAGATAACGTAAGATTTTAAGGGTTGATAGATGTTAATCTTGTTGTTTGAGGAGCTGTTCACTTGAGACAGTTAAGCAAGTCCCAGCTGTGTCTGGGTACAAGTGACAGGATGAACAACCCAGCGGGTTTTCTTCCTATTGGGGAGTGTTGTACATTCTGCTATGGCGGTATGTTCACTCACAAGATGAGTGACGCTGCCAAATACTGTCACTATGGCGGTGTGTCCACTCACAGGATGAGTGGCGCTGCCCAATACTGTCACTATGGCGGTGTGTCCACTCACAGGATGAGTGGCGCTGCCCAATACTGTCACTATGGCGGTGTGTCCACTCACAGGATGAGTGGCGCTGCCCAATACTGTCACTATGGCGGTGTGTCCACTCACAGGATGAGTGACGCTGCCCAATACTGTCACCATGGCGGTATGTCCACTCACAGGATGAGTTGCGCTACTCAATACTGTCACTATGGCTGTGTGTCCACTCACAAAATGAGTGGCGCTGCCCAATACTGTCACTATGGCGGTGTGTCCACTCACAGGATGAGTGACGCTGCCCAATACTGTCACTATGGCGGTGTGTCCACTCACAGGATGAGTGGCGCTGCCCAATACTGTCACCATGGCGGTGTGTCCACTCACATGATGAGTGGCGCTGCCCAATACTGTCACTATGGCGGTGTGTCCACTCACAGGATGAGTGGCGCTGCCCAATACTGTCACTATGGCGGTGTGTCCACTCACATGATGAGTGGCGCTGCTCAATACTGTCACTATGGCGGTGTGTCCACTCACAGGATGAGTGGCGCTGCCCAATACTGTCACTATGGCGGTGTGTCCACTCACAGGATGAGTGACGCTGCCCAATACTGTCACTATGGCGGTGTGTCCACTCACAGGATGAGTGGCGCTGCCCAATACTGTCACTATGGCGGTGTGTCCACTCACATGATGAGTGGCGCTGCTCAATACTGTCACTATGGCGGTGTGTCCACTCACAGGATGAGTGACGCTGCCCAATACTGTCACTATGGCGGTGTGTCCACTCACTGGAAGAGTGACGCTGCCCAATACTGTCACTATGGCGGTGTGTCCACTCACAGGATGAGTGGCGCTGCCCAATACTGTCACTATGGCGGTGTGTCCACTCACAGGATGAGTGGCTGTTACGGCCCTCTCGGGACGCAACGGGGTTCTCACTCTGATGTTGTTAGAGGAAGATATATGTATCCGTTCCCAAGCCAGTAGAGGCTTTCAAGGGATGCGATCCGTGGCGCAAGTAACTTAAAGGGAGTATGGAAAGAAAGCTAAGAACTTAATATTATAATTAGTACCATCACCATTTAAATATATAAAATAAAAGAGTACACAAGGGGGAGGGGTATTAACACTTTACAAAGGGGATCATGCACAATCTAGTCTTCTGCTGAAGACTCTTGATCAAGAAGCTAGGTGCCGAGTCCGCGGTGCTTTCTTCGTGGCCTCAAGACGTGTCTTCTGAGAATGCCGAGCCTACCCTGGCCACAGGTCAGCCAAAACACAGGTCCACTGGGGGCACCGTCGTGGAGGCCGTCAACCACACGTCCAGCAGGTCTGCTGGCAGGTACTGAGCCACCAAGGCTGGCACGGCCACTCCACGAACGATAAAAAGGGGTACGCCCTAGACAGGAGTCTCGTGTGATATCACAAATCACCCTCCTGTCTTCAGTACCCCAGTGGACGATCGTCTCCAACAGTCGGTCCCGGGTAAATCCTTTCACTGCCACTCCACTGGCAGGCTAACACACCACAGTGTTCTTCCGGGGGGACGACGTCACAACAGCTGCAGCAAACTTCACAGTATGGAGACTGGCTGCCTCGGGTAGACTGACTCCACTTCCATCACAGTGGTCCCAGGTCGGCTCTGTAAGCAGACACGTCATCAATAACAGGGACACTAAAACACCACACTTACAGGCTCAGACACAAACACCTGACGTATCCAGTCCATAGATGGCGCTGTCGTCGGAGCACCACCTCACCAGAGGTCAGGAGCGGCGGTGTTGAGCGCTGAACCAGACTGGAAACTGGTCCTCGAGGCCAGTACACGCTGTC